TAAGGGGTTAGTAGTAAGGCTAGCAGCGTGAATAAATGCGTAGGCAGTAAGCAAACGCTCAAACATACATGTTCATACATTCGCAACAATAATAAAGATACAATGATATAGATAAGTTGTTGGTGTACGGATGACTCAGTTCGTTAATAAGTTAACAAAATGACTTAACCGAATTAAATGTGAACCAACTCAATTACGCGTGAGTTGCTATAACCTCCGTTAAATACTAATTTTAATATTAGTTGAGAAATGATGATTTGAAAACAAAATATTACACATTGGCAGAGATTATCATACACACAAAATAAATCGTTTGAAATGAGATTTCCCGCATTAAATTATAATTTAGTGTATCATAATTGATAGATGAAGTTCCATATGTATGAGAAATATACTTCTGACATAAGGGTAAAGTAGAAAATCGTGATAAGTCACAAAAGCAGATGATTCTATGGGCGCTCTCAGAACTTCCATTATTTTTTAAGTATTACGCAGTCTGGTCATTGTTACATACTTCTGTTTATAATGCAATACTTATTTCTTAATGAAAATCATTTACATTGATTGTTTATTGGATATCAATAAATGTCATATTTATCGAGGCCTTATTACTGATAGAATTCTATTAACTGCGTTTTAAGGCGGTCACTAATCTAAATGATATGATATTACGTGAACATTTTTCTGTTTCTAGGTAATTGGAGGCAATCGATAAGCTTCTTGCTAACCAAAAACCTTTCGTACCACTAATAAAATAAATCAGTTTCAATGGATCGAATAAGTTCGAATAAAATACTCTAACGACTGGAAAATGGATTTTATAGATTTTCACAATTCTCGTCCGCTGAGTTATAAAGATTGATAGTTTTCCCTATAGGTTTTCATCAAACATTTAGTTATACCAAGAATACCAAGTAGTTAACGAAGTAACAATGCAACACTAGTTTCAATTAAAATGTCATATAACTTAATCTGAATAGTCCATACAGTCTTTGAATTCCTACTAAAATGTCATTACTGGTTTTATGTTTCTTCTGTGATTGATAGTTTAGAAAGACTAGACTACTAATAACCACACACTGTCAAAATAAAATGGCTTTCCATCTCAGTCAAAATATGCCAACTGACTAAAAAGATGTGATAGATAAGAAATTTGGAATTAGTTTCATCATAAATTGATGTCAATTAAAAAAACCACTGAAAATCAAAAGGCATCGAATACTTGTATTATTCGAATTCTGAACTTCATAGAAGTGCTCACTTACCAGTAAGCCATTGACAAAAACCCAAGTTCTTCTAGGTTTTTGGAAAATACCACACTATTTAAGGCTCCATATTTCCAAATTCACAATCTATATTATAAAGAGCGATTTCCTATCACTATCATTGGAGAGTTGGTGGTTCACTTCTAATTTAATTTATTCTTATTATTATAGCTTCTTATCAGAAGTTCAAGAAACGGGTCTCGAAACCAGTAATAATTTAATGAATGGTTATAGCTTAGTTGGACAATTTAAGAATATTTTTACCCAAAGAAGAACGATTTAAAATAAAGGATCACTGGTTAGTTTATTTTGCAAACACTAGTTTAATGGTTCTACTATTTTTTTTTAAATATTATCTTTAATTTTACAGCTAATAATAAAACTGTATAATTACGGATGTAGGAAACTTCGATACATTTATTTAAGTATCTTTTCAGTAAGTAGCTTCATATATTTCATCATTCGTTATAATTATCTTTTCATCTTCACAAAATCTAATGGATGATATCAATTACAACAAGCTGAAATGTTGTTCATATTACCCTTTATCTTAAACTAGATAGGACATCAATCTCGGATGATTGTATTTTCTAACAATCATTATACATATTATGGATTATTGAAAATATACTTACTGCATAGGGGAAAGACTTCAAAAATTTGCTTCAACCTATAACTGACGAAAAATTAGTTTTATAATTATATAAATATGAAGTAGATAGTCGAGTATACAATAAAGAATTGAATGTGTCTTTCAAACTGCCATCATTTATATAAATCATTGATAAAGCTTCAAACTGACATAAGAAAACTTTTAAGAGTAGTATACTATTTACATTTTATTCATAAGAAAACTTTAAAACTAATAAATGTCTTTCTAAGTAAGTACCATTCCTGTTAAATACGTGATAATCGTATGACGTCGTTTACAATTAATTAATTCTCTGAAAAAGAAGCTTCTAGATCTGCCCATAACTATACGTCAGACATCACGTTTATATTATCGCCATTTTACCATTCATAAATAAATCAATATTCACGACAGAATGATATCAGCTGAAAAAAATCAGTAAACATATTTATTCAGTACTCCATACAACCTAATTATATGAACATAACTGGAAAGAAACGAAATAACAGTAGCCTTATATTTGTCAAATAATTCACTTAAATCTATTCATTTGTATAAAATTACACAAAGACTATAATCTGTAACTGTTTAGATAAATCTATACCTTTAATTACCATAAGATTACATAAGTATAAAATATAGAAATTGAAATAACAAATATTATTGTTTATTACATTGTTGTATTACTGAAATTCGACCATGTACCATAAACGATGTTAGATACCTTTGATCACTATCATATTATTGCAATTAGTGAATATTAATTCATTACTATATTTAATAATGCCCATAAATATTAATGGTATCAATGGTTTAATGGTATTATTAGTAATAATAAGTATTAATGGTTAGTAGTATAATTCAGTTAACCTTAATAAACAATGAATAATGATATTTATCTGATAAAAATAAGAAAACATTCCAATCTTAAAAAGTACATTTTTTCCCCGTTAAAATAGAAATAAAACAACAATCTAACAAAATGTATATAAGTACACCGGATAAATGACCTTTAAACTACTAACCGTTTTATGTTTATTTTACTGTATAAAGTGAAATGTAACTACATAATTCCTAATAATACATTTTCGATTAATTTCAATAATAAAAGAATAGAAAGTGAATAGGATATTTTTTTCTGGTATATCTCTCAATAACCCTCTACCTTCAGTTCTCATTTAACAGATAGTTTTATTAGTTTCATATTGAAAGGATTCTTGACAGGAATAATCGGTTTATGAATTAATACATGATAACCATAATCATAATCATCATAAAAATATTAACTATATACAATTGCTGACCTAAATCATCGTATATACCTTAATATTTTAAATTTAGAACCAAATTCTAATCAATCAGTTTGTTAAGATGAATGATATTTTAAAATAATGGTAGCTAGATACCTATATATATCTAAGTATTATACATATCATACTTCACTTTATACTTTTCTTTATTTGATGAAATGCTTCAAAAAGAAAAGAGTTAAACATTATTAATTGTCTTTGAAGTTCACTGACCTTATTTTGTAAGAATAAAAAAAAACGTAACAACAGCATGAAGTTTTCTTGCTTATGAAATGAAATGTTTTCTACCCAAGAAAAACAAATGGCAAACTGTTTTTTTGTTAATATTCTCAATAACCTTTTAAAGTATAAAGTTACAGTTGTTAAATGTTTGTAAACTTTCGAAAACATACTAAGTGACTTGATATGACGTAATACATTTCTTTGGACCATTTAACATTAGTTAAGGTCATGAATTAATGCTTATGTCAAGACAAACCTCATAGTATGCAAATACAACAACGAAGACTGATCAAATTTAGTCACGCATAGCAACCACTGGATTATACAGTCCGTTACAGATTAAACTAAAATTCAAACCCTTTGAAGAGTTGAGTAGTTTTCTGGACTCAGTAGCTCAATGCATAATACATTGAACCTATATGGCGAAAGGTTTTGGGTTCGAGTCCCAGTACAGACAGAGACATTGAGGAGCAAATACATCCAGATGATAAGTCTCGACTAAGACGAAATGTGTATCTTTAATTCCACAACCAATGACACTCCATCTACTCCATAATATCTCATCAAACTTTAGTTTTGTTATCTACGAGGTAAGTATAATAACAGTTCTATAATTATATAGAAAATTTTTAAAAATGGTCGTTTTAAATTGGTGATCTCCTTGATGCAATATATACTACGAAGATACATGATTCGAATCCCACGGAACGGGATCACGGATGCGCGCTTCTGAGGAGTCCCATACTAGGACGAAACAGCCGTTCAGTGCCTCCAGGTTTTTCATGTTGTTTTAGCTTCAATAACTCATGAACTCAATTATTAACTTACTATAATATCCACAAATTCCCTTTCTGATAATTTTTTATTTAGTAAAGCTTATATCTAGAAACATGATCATAGGATTACCAAGTGTAACACATACATATTTGTGGCAATAATCTGTCCGCCAACAAATATGCATTAATTCTATCTTCAAAATATGAAAACGAGAAATCACAACTTAGATCAACAACTAGAATGTTTAAAGCAAGATGGTCATTCACTTGGTATTGTTTTACTTGAATCTTCCCATTGATGTTTAGTACTGAAATAGATCATCCATATTTGCTTACAAGATGGTAATGTTTTGTTTTTGGGAAAAACGCTGATATATTGGCATTCACATTCAATTAAGTCATAAATTTCAAATGAGTTAAAACTCACCACTTGAATTTCATCTGAAACTTTCGAATATGTATATACCCTATCTAATATATCTATCATTCATAAGCCCTGGTTATTACTTCTCATTATCACTTTTTGTTGGGATATTCAGGATATCAGGAGCAAATATTTTTCACGTCATAACAATTGGCGACGGGGTGAAGAAAAGATACAATCCAAAGTCATTCCGTAATTGGACGAAATCCAGTCTAATTATTCAACCAATCAGTATCCAGATTGTCATCAGTGTCCTTGAACCACATTGGTCATTAGTCATACAGTAATTTTCATCACAGGTGCTGATTCAAAATAATGACTCTCCCCTCCGATCGATTACAACTGCTCTTTGAACGACATTTGGAGTTGTTAGTCAAATTCCGCACGCAGCTGCTAAATCACTCATGCTATGAAGACGACGGAAGTGGATGGATTGATATCTGAATTACACAGTGAGCTGGAAAATGACAACAGCCTCCATGAATCCTCGATTAACTGTACTTCGAACGAAACGGCAGTCATCCATGATGCGCCCAGTGGTCCAGTACTTTCCACTTCAGAAACATGCCCGGTAATGGATTCGAACTCCGTTATCCCCGAAACAGCATGTACAGACAGCAACGTATCCAGCTCACGAGAAGATTCCATTGTTTTGCCAGAAAATGTGTTTCACGAATCAACTAATAATCAAGAACCTGGCACAGTTTTGTTGGACGCGGATTACCATAATCATCCATTATCTACTAATGATGCTCCTTATAAATTTGACAACAATATCTCAGAAGATTTGAACTCTGATGATTTCGAAATGAGTGGTGTTTATCCTCATTATCTGGTCGATTTTACTGGATTCCCATTTCAATGTGTTTTAAATACAATCAAATTAATTGTAATTTGGTTTTATGAAGACCCAACATTATTTCGAGGGGGAGGATAGACGCGAGAAAAATTTAAAATCCGGACATCGACTCCGGATCTCCAAAAAAAAGGGGAGGTGTTGGGATATTCAGGAAAATATCCCAAAAATTATCCTGTTAAGCCTAATGCTATCCTTGGACATGAAATGGTATCATCTTATTGGTCAATATTTATTTAACGTGTTATTTTCCTGTTGGCCATTATTGTACAATGTTATCTTCTATTTTATGGTACGTTGTGGCCTGCTTGACTGGTATATAAACAAAGTATGTTTGAAATATAATGATTCATATATCCGAGGCTGTGACTTGCGTTCTGGACTCAACTGGCTGGGTTAGACAGGGAAGCGAGATCAATCAGAACCCTAGGTCGTTCCACGTGTTTGTGCGTCTTTGGTCCGATCAATAATTCGCTACCCCTTAATCCGCAGCATTATTTTTCGCAGCGATAACACTTTTAAAAAATATTTAGGGCTTATTTTGTTGTTAGGATCATAGTTTATCATATAATGTTTATTTACACATGAATAAAAGTATTTTACACCTTCAGTATTATTATTATTATTGTTATATTTTAACGCACTGAATCCAATTCACTTGTGATTCGATATCTTTCTTTGTTATCTTTATTTCTTTAATAAATCAGCATGATTTTTGTCAAAAGATTTCCTTTTCTCTCTCTCTCTTTCTTTCTCTCTAATATTAGTATCTAAATAATTAATACGAATACTGCTATTAATAATTAAACATTCAATTCAAACTTTGTGTTTATACTAAAAATGTCAAACTATTTAATCTAAAATAAACATCTCCAAGTAAATTAAATGGATTCTGTATATATTGATGTTGTTACTCAAGGATGATATACTAGGTCTGTTTATGATTTTAGATGGATGTATCTGATTATCTTAGGACTTTGATATTTTCACTAAGATTTGAGCATAGAATTTATCTCTTAAAAAGTCAAAGTATTTACATACTAAACTAGATTATTGATAAAGCTCGATAGATACGCACTTTGTAGTTCATTGGTAGCATTATGGGACAATTAATTAATTGAGTAAAATGAATATATGTTTATAAATAAAAAGTATTTGTTGAAATTTAGTGATCCAATAGCTTGAGTTCCAAGCAATCGATTAGTCCAATTTCTGATTAGATTAACAACAGATCTCTCGTCAAAAATCATTCATCTATATTTGAACCTCTTCAGTTACGAGTGTGTGTGTGTGTGTATGTGTAGTTTAGTTTAATATTAATGAACTTTACTCACCCACTACACTTGAAAATTCAGGTCATTAGATAAGTAAGATACCATTTATACACTATGACGTATATTCTAAAGTTCGTTTAACTTGTAACATTTCACAATTTTCATTAAATATTATTGATGTTACTATTTCACGTTCGATTCATTTAATTACAAACCTCACTACTTCTCACTACAAATTTGAGGAATCAGTTACAAGTTTAGTCATTAGTACGAATGCATCAGTTTTATTTTTATCAGAATGGGTTTTATGGAGATTTTTTTTAGAAATTTCACTGGTTGAAATCATGAGTCAATTGAAGCTAGATCACCACGGAAAACCTGGAAGTTTTGGACAAACGTTTCGCTCTAGTGTGGGATTCCTCAACAGTGCGCATCCACGATCCCGAAACCCCGCGAGATTCGAACCCAAGACCTATCAGTCTCGTGCCAGGCGCTTAACCAACTAGACCACTGGGCCGGCCGGTATCCAACGGTGTTAATGTCTAACTTCAATCAATCCACGAAGTTGCGCCACGGCATACCATTGTCTTCAGTGAGTTCCTATCTCACAACAGACCTGGTTGAACTCCACTGGTAACGACTTCTTACTAGAACTGCTGAGGAGTCCCATACTAGGACAAAACGGCTGTCCAGTGCTTCCAGGTTTTTCATGGTGGTCTAGCTTCAATTGGCTCATGATTTCAACCAGTGAAAGTTGTATTTTTTCTGAATATTCTGGGGGAAAATTCTGTCTAATTTAAAGATAATTATCAGAAGAGGGGTTTTGTGGACATTATAGTAATTTAATAGTTGAATTCATGAGTCAATTATTGCTATACCACCATAGAAAATCCAAATGCACTCGACAACTGTCTCGTCCTAGTATGAGACTCTTCAGTATAGCTCATCCACGATCCCACTCGTAGGACTCGAACCCGGGACCTTCACTTTCGCGCGCGAACACTTAACCCTCAAACCACTGAACCACCACCTAACGGTGTCTATGTCTAACTTCAACCAATCCACGAAATTGCCCCATCATTCCCCATGGTTGTCTAGCTCTAATTGTCTCATGAATTCAACTATTAAATTAAAGATAATTACTACTAGTATTAAACTCTGCATTGAAGTATTTGGAATAAAATAAAGTACTATTTGTGTTCATTCTAACTTCTTTTTTTACATATTCCATACATATTTCAGTAATTTTATAAATAATTTCTTTACTTTCGACTTGGCCATGATCCAAAAACAATTTTTTTTAATAAAAAAAACTGATAGATAAACTGGTAACAATTCAATAGTTACATAAATTCTATTTAAATCATATTCAATAATCATTTTCTAATATTTTTTTAGGGAAAGAATTTGGCTAAGAAGAGTTAAATTAAGTTAATTTTATTTCATTATTTTTGGTGTTGTTGTTGTTCATTTCATTTATTATATCTAAACAACATGTTGTTATGCTAAATTACAAACACTTCATCGACTTATTTCATTTATAATAACAATCATAATAGTTATGTTGACCTCAGTTATGTTTTTTTTCTCCTTCAGTGTTTACTTTTCAATTTTATTCATATAAACAAATCATATGTAAGTGGTTCATCAGGTTTATTCTAAGGTACATATAGATCTATAGTCAATAAATTTTGTAATTATTAGATAAATAGTAAATAATTAAATGAAAATAATGTAGGCAAAGAATTTACTGCGTTTGCCCCTTTTTCTTTCTTTTTTTCTTTTTCTTCTTTCTTTTCTTAAATCAATATTGTTATTATTCAGAATAGGTTCAAGATAACAAATTGTTGTCATCTTTCAATTATGAAATATGAATATAAGAAAAGCTTCTTTTATACAAATGAAATGATTGAAGTTAAAAGAATATTTGAATGGTAACAAAAGTGTCAAATTAATTGACATCAACATTACTGATTTGATATCAATATCAATTTATCAAAAAGATATAACTATTAATGTTATATTACTGATTGAATTCAATCCCAAATAAATATGATTGTTTCATGTGTATATAAGAAACTATTTCACTTTTTATTGGTTTTATTTCAAATTCAAATAGTCAATGATTTACTATTTATAGGATTACTTGACAAATTCACTTTGTACATGAAGGTTAGAAGTTTCACTAAAATTGCTAAACATATAGAGTAAATACTAATGCAGACTAAATTTCTCCCGGATATATATATATATTTTTAAATCCTAAGTTCTGTTTCAATTAGATGGTTCTGTGAAAATGTATGTTCAGGTCAATATAGGATTACTTCATGTACGATACAAAAAGGGTCACCCATTGATAATAAATTATAGAAGATATTTATGTATTAGATAAATAATTGGTTTCATCGTATCGTGGAAGGTTTCGTAATAGCAGTTATGTACACAACACTGAGAATTTTACACTGATTTACGTTTAAAAGTTGAAAGTGTTAGATGCTTGTAAGTAATAATAAAAAAATCCTGGAACTAGTCTTCGTCCTAGATAACACTTTTCCCCAATAAGTATGTGCAATTTCCATGGGAACTGATGTGTTTCTATCCAAACCAAATATATCCCGCCCAGAATAACGGTCAAAGAAGTTGATATTGAAATATTTGGGTGGTGACTGACCTGCCAAATAATTGAGTTAGATAAACCAATAAAGCAGTTTTCAAAGTATTATTTTATTATCTGAATAGTATTGTAGGCTTTACTTGAGTCTGATAACAAAAGTAGTTGGTGAAGTTTCTTTTATTTACAAAATTTTCGAAGAATATCGTTATAACCTTTTGTTACTGAAATACTAAAATTCATATTTCAGTATACGTTGTAGAACTACATCATCTGTCCCGGTAAGCAACACTGTATTCTTCAAGGGGTAGTCTCCGGTACTAATTGCAATCTGTAGTCTACTGTGAAAAAAATATTTAATTCACAAAGTAACTTGTTAACCAGTTAGTTAAAATCAGCTACATACCTGAAACTTTCAAGGATTTGATCATAAACAAATAACTAGTTTAACAGATGAATTCATGTGTCCACTAAAACTAGACCACCATGGAAAACCTGAAAGCACTGAACGGCCTTTTTCGTGACTGCCTTCAAGATATATTTCCTCGAGTTCTAGTGTAAAGTAGTGACCAGTGGAGTTCAACCGTGTCTCTTGTGAGGCAGTGACTCACTGAAGACAATGATGGACGGTGGAGCAATTTCGTACATTGGTCGGAGTTAGACATTGACACCGTCGGATGCCGGCTCAGTGGTCTAGATTTTAAGCGTTAGCGCACGAGTTCGAAGGTCCTGCGTTCGAGTCCCGTATATGAGATCGTGGATGCGCACTAGGGCTAAACGGCCGTCGAGTGCTTTCAGGTTTTCCACGGTGATATGGCTTTGAGCAATTTTATTAATTCAACTATTAAATTACTTAAATCTCCACAAAACCCCCTTTCTGAAAATAACTAGTTATTTACGTCCTTAACAGTAATGATCAGTGGTGTATTTTAAAATTCTTAAACTAAGTTTATTTGAAACAAGTTGATTATCAAAGTCAAACTCATTACAAATAAGCTGGCCAGAAAATGAAAGAAGTCAGCAACCGTAATTTGATTAATTTTTAGTTGTCTTGCGGACACTATTGATCTTTATAAGAGGTTATAAACTTCATATTTCATTTAATAGTACGAAACCTACAGTTCCGAATACACAAGATTTTTGTTAATTTTTAAAAGAAACATGAATTTATATTAAGTATCATTAAGTGAACATTTCAGTTTCAGTATTCTCTAGCAAATTTTTCCTAGTCGTCTGTTACAATTTAAGTAATAAATTATTTTTATATGTATTTTTTTCATTATGTTTCTTGGAGAAAAGTAGTATTTTCTACTACTCAAATATACGTAACCTAAAAATGTAATTTCCTCGCGAACAGAAAAATATTTATCAGAAGGGGTTTTGTGGAGATTTTAGAAATTTCACTGGTTGAAATCATGAGTCAATTGAAGCTAGATCACTATGGAAAACCTGGATGCACTGGACAAACGTTTCGTCCTAGTATGGGACTCCTCAACAGTACACATCCACGACCCCACACCCCGCAAGATTCGAACCCAGGATCTATCAGTCTCGCTCCAGGCGCTTAACTAACTAGACCACTGGGCCGACCGGCATCCAACGGTGTTAATGTTAGACATTCAATTGACTCATGATTTCAGTCAGAGAAAAATATTTATTAAGAAAG